AGTCGCTGCAGCGGAGATCTCTCGTAGTCCGAGATCGGAAGCCTTAAGTACGAAGCATCAGATGAGTCACTACAGTATGCTCTCGCACTATCTGCCTCTCATCCCGACATACTCTCTCGTGCCAGACGGCTACTTGTAAGGGGAAACCGCCTGAAAAGGGAAACAAAGGAATAAATGAAAAAATAAATGGCTAGGGGAGTTTACTAGTTGGTCTATTACCACCTTAATTAGTAATTTGTTTGATAATTAGTGTATTTTACAACTGTCTCGCGTCCTTTTTCGCTCTCTTACATAGCTCATTACTGAGCATCCTGTTGAGTCAGCAGGTTGTGAAAGTTTGATTATGATTTTTGAGCCAAGTCGAAAATTAGCACCACAATCTGATCGAACTATATGAGGGACGCCTCTTCTTGACACAAAACGAATGAAGCTGTTTAGGAAGGCTCCAGCTGACATATTCTCCACTACTTCTAGATGGACTGCCCTAGTTGTTAAACAGGTGTACAAGCAAATGTACATGTTTTCGTCCGATTTCGTGAAAAATGGACCAATAAAGTCACAACCAATATTGCGGAATGGTTTTGTAATCACCACTCTATCTGTAGGTAGAGGTGGCATATTTGGGGAGCCGAATGGCAGTCCCTGCCATCTTTTACAGACCGCGCAGTCTCGCAAGTAGGTCTTAAATGAGCCAGATGCCCGGGGTAACCAGTATCTCTGCCTTACAAGAGATAACGTTTGGTCTTTTCCACAGTGGAAGTGTTTGTGGTGGATATTGGTGAGAACTAGTCTCGTAATATCACCTCTGCTTGGCAGAAATATGGGTGATTTAGCATCGGTAGGGATGCATGCATTTTGCAAGCGTGAAATATGTCTAATGATGCCATTTATCACGCATTACTAGCATATTTCGAAAGTTCTTACTAAGTTCATTTACATCAATGTTTTTGTGGACATCTGCATGGACGAGTATTTCGGCCATAGCAAGGTCCTTTGCGTTGATCTCAACATCTAATGAGAAGCTTAATTTATTTCCCAATTGTATGGGCGTGCTTCTTTTCTTGTTCGCTCGCGATACGAGGTAGCAAAGGAATTTGCCAACTCTCGCAACAGTGCGCAAAGCAGTTGACATTTTGGAAAAACGCGAAAGTTCAAAGACAGGTGCAGTGAAACTAACGGCTTTGGGTTTGCGGTAGTGCGATAATTACCGGTGTTGGGTCAGATTCGGCTGGCTCCGTTGTTTGAACAACGTTGATAGGCCGTAGAAAGCTGATTTGGGTAGTGCTTCTAACCAACGCGGACCTTTAACCCAGGCGCTGTTGATGATTTGTTCCTTAGATAGCCCTCTCGTGCCAGCATCGGCTGGGTTGTAGGAGGTGGGAACGTGGAAAAATTGAACGGTCACATTCTCAGATTCTATTTGAGATCTGAGTTTGTGAATTCGGACACATTGGTTGGAGACAAAAACCGGCAGCTTGCGAGATGATTTTATCCAGCACAGCGCAACTTCGCTGTCGGTCACTATGTTAACTGTCTCTACCTTAATGCTGATTGCTTTACGAACAGACACCGCTAGTCTGAGAGCGATCAAGATTCCGAGAAGTTCCAAACAAGGTATTGTTTGCTC